CAACTTCCCTGAGCAAAGAAGAGATACGAGGCTTAGAGGACCTCCCTGCAAAAGCATTCTCGTCATCATGATCTTAGAACGGCAGAGCTGGAAGGGATTCCTAAAGATCATCCGGTCCAGCCCTTGTCAAGGAGACTGCCTAGTGGTCTGGATTTGCATTTACAAAATAAACCAAAAGGAGGACAGGAAATTGGGAGCGTTTTTTACACACACACACATGCACACACACACACACACGCGCGCGCGCAGCTCTTCAAACTGAAATATATTAAGATTGAATCCCTGGAGAAAAATTAGGCTTTCAGTCAGAATCTAAGAAATATTTTAAAGGTCTAAAAGTAAGCATTGTCTCCTGTCAGATCACAATACCCATCCTCCTTTTCTTGGGCTCCCTGGCTGGGGCTGATGAGATTTGGAGTCCAGCAGCCTCTGGGAGGTTGCCAGTATCCCCACCCTTGGCTTACAGTCCATGGTGGGCCTCTCTATACAGGTCCAGAGCCTCCTTCCGGAGGTGGAGAGGGTCTCCAAGGTACCTCTGGCGGTGTGTCTCCGACGGAGGCGTCTCCCGGCTGCGTCCCAGTCCATTCCGCCACAAGCTGGTGCAGTTTTAGCTGAGCTTCTTGGAACTGCTGGCCGACCCCTTCTTTCAGGTGCTCGACCTATGAAGGCGCCAGGGAGAGGGGGGGGGGGAGAGGAGGATGTAAAGATTTTTGTAAGACAACCAACACTGATTACGTTTTCCTCCCAGGGAGCTTGAGACAGTACTTCTCCTCCGCTTTTATCTGCACAACAGCCTTGTGAGGTGGATCAAGTAAAAGATTTCCCAGGAAGTCACATTGCTGAATGAGACTAGAAACCAGATCAAACTTCTCCACCCTCCCACTGCTTCCCCTCGCTAGTTGCCTTTCAAAGAGGGGACCTTTAGAGTATATAGTAGGAGCCCCGTATCTGTGGGGAAGGGGTCAATTCCAACCCTTTCGCGGATATTGAAAAATGTGGATTATAGCAAATGCTATGCATAGCATGATATCTGGCACACTCTTGTGGCTAGTTCTGGTAATGACACCATGGAAATAGGCATAGCATGATATCTGGCACACTCTTGTGACTAGTTCTGGTAATGACACCATGGAAATATATTTCTCTGGTGAATGCCATCCATAGCATAGTCTCTGGCTCCTTCTAGTGGCCAGTTCAGGTAATGACATCGTTGGAATATAATTCTCTAGTTAGCATGGTCTCTGGCTCCCTCTAGCGGCCAGTTCTGGTAACTTCATTTTTAGAAATAAATATCTCTAGGATTTTAATTTTCATACAGTATTTTTAATACAGTATTTTCAGATCATGGTGAATGCCATCCATAGCATAGTCTCTGGCTCCTTCTAGTGGCCAGTTCAGGTAATGACATCGTTGGAATATAATTCTCTAGTTAGCATGGTCTCTGGCTCCCTCTAGCGGCCAGTTCTGGTAACTTCATTTTTAGAAATAAATATCTCTAGGATTTTAATTTTCATACAGTATATTTAATACAGTATTTTCAGATCGTGGATAAGTGAATCCGCAGATACCGATCCTGCAGGGAAGGTGGTCATAAAGTTTCAGTCAAGGACGCCAACCTTACCAGATTGATCACCCGCTGGAGCTGGGAGAGGGTGTTCTGGGTGTTTTCCTTGATGAGATTAAGCCGGCTAAGTGAATGCAAGGAGGCCCGTTGGCGGACCTTGCTGGAGAGGGACCCCAGGCGGACGAAGTAACTCTGTTGCCGGCGCTGATCCTCCAGGGAAGGCGGTCCGAAGCCCTGGACTTCTGTGGCCAGCTTGACTGCAAAGAGAAGTAGCCATGGGAGAAAGGAAAGGAAGGCTTAGGGTTAGGGAATCTGTCCAAGCCTTAGTTAATATGTCCAAACTGTGATAATAAAAGTTGCCACAAATTTGAGTCAAGTCTGGAAAATACAGAGGTGCAATGCAGATCGATCTGGATTCAGTGGATCGGCTTCGGCTGGAATATTCAGAATCAGACTTAGCCCACTGATTCCGCCTTGCAGAGAAAATGATGTCACTTAGTTCCCCCCACACACACACCCTGGCTTTCTAGCTGCAAGGAAGCTTTGTCCCTGACCTCAGGGAAGAAGGCAGAAGGCGTGCAGATACTTTTGCAGACTGCAAAGGGATCATTAACTTGTTTTTCTTGGTCCCCTTTGAAGGGAACAGCTCTCCGACTGGTCCCGATCCTTATCTGGCAGGGGTGGAGCTGTGATTCAGCGTGAAAGTGGATGAGTGGGTGTGCTCATTGATCACGTGCACAGGGCAAATCCCAAACATGATCGGGTTTTCAGAGGGCCCAGCCTGGGCAGGGTTCAACCTCCAGAAACCCTGGCCAGCCCAGTGAGGGGTGAAGGCTTCTGGGAGGTTGTGTCCAAGAACATCTGGGTGACACACACCCCCCAAGGCTGGGATCTACTGGCCGATAGGACCGACCAGCCTTCTCCAACCAGTTACAAGTCATGGACTACAACTCCCATCAGCCCCAGCCAGTGATGAGGGACGATGAAGCTCGTAGTTCAACGCCCTGCCCCGGAGCCATGAAAACGTGTTGTCTCACCCAGTTCTTCTTCTGTCATAGGAAGGTAGTAATCGATCATCTCCTCGGTCTTCTCCAGCACAGCATCCACTCCGGTGGCAACCAACTGCTGTATAAAACTGCCCATCTCTATGCCTTCCTGGACGGACCCACAGTTCTTCACTTGGCCCGTCACCAAGAGGTCCTTCGTCCCGGCGGCCGCTTGGAGGGCGGTGTTGACGGTGGAGGACACCACCGCCTTGGTCAAGTCAACGCTCTCCTGAGCGGTCTCTTTGCTCAAGTTGACCACGTCGGTCACCCGGTGAGACACGAGGGTCTTGGCCTCGTTGGCCGCGCTCAGGGCGGTGTTGACGGTGGAGTTCACCACCATCTTGGTCAACGCGACGCTATCCTGGACGATGTCCTTGGTGAGGTCGACGGCGGCGGTCACCCGGTGGGTGAAGAGGTGCTTGGCTCCGTTGGCGGCATCCATGGCAGTGTGGACGGTTGAACCGACCACCGACTTGGCCAGCGTGACGCCTTCTTCAATGACCTGGAAGGTCGAAGGAAGCAGATCAAGAACAGGGGAGAGAAAAGCCTCCATGGGACAGAAGGACTCCAGTGGTTGCCCTGAGGATCAGACCCTGGATCCTCCCGCCCTGCGGGTCCACTAAAGATGGTTCGTACTCTCAGACCTCAGCCGAATCCTAAATTGATGGAGTCGGAAGGGGGGCCTCTAAGGCCATCGAGTCCAACCCCCTGCTCAAGGCAGGACCCCAAATCAAAGCAGATCGGATGCGTGTTTGGTCCGGTTGATCTCTTGAAGGCCCCAACGTTGGAGCGCTCACCACTTCCCGAGGTGAGTGAGCGTCACGAGGGTTGACTTTATGCCCGTGGCATTTGACGGGTCTTGGCCAACCCTTTGGGGCCACTTCTGAATAGACACGGAGAAAGGCTTCAGGACGCCGTGACCCCCTCCGTGAGGCCTTGAAGGGGACTCCAGGGCTGCCTATGGCCGAACGACTTGCTCTTTCACACCCTCTGATCACACTTTCAGTCTTTCGGGGGCTTTCTTGAGCCCGAAATGTTATCATCCAAAGTCTGGGGCCCGCATGGGTGGCGTAATCCTTTTATCTAAGCCAATGTTAAGAGCAGAACCCCATAGCTCCTGGCTTCTCTGGGACCCATTCTTCCCAAGCTCTGGTGGATTTCTGTCTTCCTGGCAGAAAAGACTCGCCAAGGATCGCACTACTAAAGCCCTCGCTCATTAAATGCACAATTAAGAACGAGGATGTAGTTAGTTACCTGATGAGCTGGCTGGTGAAGGCAAGGCACCCTTTCTTCCAGAGTATCCAGACCCTTACAAGCGTATTCATTCATGGCTGCAACTGTTGAGGCAGAATTAAAACCAAAAAGTCATGTGTCGTTGTTGTTTTTAGCATTCCACGTTAAAAAAAAAATTATTTCACTTTGCTTAAAGAGCAAAACAGGTGGATTTTTAAAATTTTAAATTTATTTCATTTAATAAAAGTACCCTACGCTGGGTACTTTCAAATGCCAGCTGAAAACATGGATGTACATCCAGGCCTTCCCTCCTGTCAACTACTGATTTCTTTTGCTTTGCTGTTTATTATTTATTTATTCCTGCACTATTTGTTATTGTTGTATGCTAATGTTTTTATGTTTTTTAATTGTTTTGCTATTCTGTAAGCCGCCCAGAGTGGCAGAATATACCAGATGGGCGGGATATAAATCAAACAAACAAACAAACAAATGTATCCTGTCCCTTTCATTTGCAAGAACTAAGCAGGGCTGTTAATGATAAGATCTTATGAATATATAACAAAACAATAACAACAGTAATAACAATAACTACTACTAATACTACTAATACTACTAATACTAATACTAATATTAATACTAACAACAACAACACCACCACCACCACTACTACTACTACTACTACTAATACTAATACTGTACTA